AGACAGGGCCCCGGTGCCCTTGGTGGAGCCTTTCCAGCGACCAGCGCGCGCCTGGACCACAGGACCAGTTTGCTGTTGTTTGTACCCAAACATGATGGAAGCTGGGACGAGGACAGGAGGTAGAAGGATAGGAACGTGGAGGGAGAAGGATGGGGGAAAAATTACAACCGAGGAAACAAGTGTCCTCAAGTGCAGATGGCTCTTGTCGACGCGCACAACGCGCGCTTTCCAAGCCGTCCGTGCACCGGCAAGCCAAGGGTGGAGCGGGTGGCTCCCGCCGCCCTCTGACTTGCACGCTCTTTTCCTGGTTCCGAGGCGCCCACTCCTCCTCGGCCCCCTCACCCGGCTGGGGCCGCGCTTCCATGGAAATGCAGCCCTGGACCTCGGCGGCAGGGCTGCCTCCCCGCACTCTCCCGGGACTAGGCCGGGCGTGCGGCGACGCAGCTGCAGCGCGGAGCGGGGGCGCCTCCTGGCGGCCATGGCGGAGCGCTAGGCTCGCCAGTTTCTCATCCTAGGCGGTGCGTCCGCGGGACTCGGGTTCTGCGCGCGGGTGGGCGGCCCTCTGGTCTGCATTTCCCCACTTGCTCGGGTGGCGGCGCCGAGGCCTATGCGCCTCTTTATTAATAACGATGCCCCGGAGAAAAAAAAAAATTAGAGCCTTAAAAACCAGACAGAGTGGGAGAGGGGTGTGTGTGTGTGCGTGTGTGTGTGTGTGTGTGTGTGTGTGTGTGAGAGAGAGAGAGTTGGGGCGTTGGTGAAAGCAATAAAACTCAGATCGCTTCCTTGGAGAGATAGCGGCGGCTATAATGCGCCGGGGGGATCAGGGGTTTATTTGCAGATCCTGGATAAAAGATGATATATCGACACAGTTTAGAGTGTCATTGCGCCTGGCCTCTCAGGAAGCCACAAGTACATATTTCCTGAAATACCGGCCAACACAATATCTAATCCACACGCCACTTAAGCACGGGAGGGGAACCTCAGCATCTCACGAGTTCGAGCCTGGTTTCCTAGTTCTCAGTGGGAAGACCCCACACGGGCAGGATCTGGTGCGCCTGGACGCTCCCTCCCCAGGCCTTTGTCTTCAGTCCAAGTAATCACTTAGTGAGGGGCCTTAATAAATACGACTGAGGACTGTCCTTATGCTCGGTAAATATTGGATTAGCTTTTCAATGACCAGGCTCTTGAAAAGGCTCGAGAAATCCACACCAGGTCTCAACTAAGCCCCACAGTCAATAGGTAAGGAAAAGAAGTAATTTCCCTGGCTAGGGTGGGGAGCGTTGAGAAGGGGGGTTCCTACTCTTATCAAGTTATCCGATTCTACTAAGTATGACAGCAGTACTAAATAGGAAAAGAGAGGTGCCCATATTCTGGATTAGCTGGAATTTCCACCATCTCAGTTGTGCTCATTAAGGGCTGAGTGACTTTGCCCAAGGGGACACGCGTAGGTTCTATTTTTATTTCCACAGAGCTCAGCACGAGCTCCTTTTGTTTAGCACATATTTGGGGGGGTGTTTATGGGAGTTTTTGACCCGGCTATTGGGGTAGGGCATCGCCCACAGATCTCCGACTGCTCTGCGCTGATTCAGACTGCTTAGGGGAGGCCAAACCCCCTCGAATTCCTAAGAAGCTCCACTCTGCCTCCTTGTTACTGACTTCTGCCAGCAAAACGATGCAGGAGACATTGAGACTTGGAGAGGAAGTCCCTCTCTCCTCCAACATGAGGTGGGGGCGTGCAAGAAGTTTCTGAACTGGTTTCTCCTTGCACAGAGATGCCGGTGTGATCCCCACTCATAATTCGAATGACAGGGGGTTGGTGAACGAGTGGTCCGGCTAGGTGGAAGTGGCCTTAGAACAGGCTGCGGCAGAAATGGAGCTGGGCCCAGGACTGAGCGGTCCCTCGGCCTCTCCGAGCCTTTCCTGCAGTGCGTGGAAGGGTGGTTCTGTGCCCCTGCCCATCGCCACCAGTACGGTGCCGGAGCAAAAGGACTGGATTTTCATCTACCCTGGAGCTGCAAAGCCTGCAGGGTCCAAGCATCCCCCAGGGTCCGGGCACCTCGGGTCTCCTCCTGACCCTGGCACAGTCCAATGGCTTCGCCATGGGGCTCCCAGACAGGAGAAGCCTAACTGTCAGTTCTGGCTCACAGGAGCATGCAAAGTGTGCGCAAGGAGCCCCAACACTGAAGGCGGTCGGTTCGCAGACCCAAGCCTGAGCCTTAGAGCCAATATTTGGTAGAAGAGACAGAGAGAAAGAGAGAGAGGGAGAAGGAGAGGGAGAGAGAGGGAGAAAGATATCCAGCTCTCAGCGTGTCATGGGGCCTAGGCGGGGCTAGTGCCCTCTGAAGCCATCAAAGACAGGGGTGGCTTTTTTCCTCTCCTCCAACCTCCTCCCCAATAGATATAGCACGAATTTTTAATGCGTCTTCCTTTCACAGACAACAATACCGGGTTTGAAAGCCGGACACAATTTGGGTTTTGTGCGGGTCCCTCCTCGCGCTCCCTCGGCCCAGCTGGCCATATGGAATCCAGCATGGAGCCTGCGGATGACAAAGGGACCCAGTGACAGGCCCAACAAAACCCCAAGGAGACTTCTGCCTGACTCCGGGATTCACTGCCGGCGATAAGCGCGCTGAATGGTGCGGGGTGGGGAGTGGGGGAGGGCGGGCCCTTTCTCCCTCTTCCCCTCTCTCTGTTCCCCGCGATCCTTTCTCTGTCCCTTTTTAATATGCACGCCTCTAACATCCCCAGCTCCCAGCTCTCCCATTGTGCCGTTTTGTGAGGCCCGCTGTAGATTGGGCGAAGATAGACTGCCGTAGCATACCCTGCGCCGGGTGCGCTCCCAGGGCGCTGGGGTTAGGGCCACACGGGGCTCCGCGGGCACTTTTATTGACTCTACAGGGACCTGAGGACAGAGAGAGGCGCCGGGCCTACCTCCCCGGCAGCCGCGAGAGCGCACACCCAGACTGCAGGCTTGCGGGCCTGCCTACCGCCCAAAATGCGCCCTCAACGCGCACACAGTGGAAGCCTGCGAGAATCTGGACCTTCCACGCCGCTTCCTTCTTCTTTGGAGGACTGAGGGGCTTCTATGATCATTCTTGGCCCCCAGAAGTCCTGGGGCCTGGAACAATCTGAATCAACTGAGTCTTGGGGCTGTGCCTCAGGCCTCCCATCGACCGCATTCTAAGAGGCTAGGAATTCTCACCTCCCTTCTCAGCGGATTGGGGATTACAGAGAAGTTACTAGTGGGATGTGGAGTGGTTGGTATCAGGGCACGTTGGGCATTCGACTATAGCACAGCAAACGATTTGGGGAGAATTCTCCTGGCCTTTACAAACAGCAAGAAATAAAACTCTAAACGTTTCCAAGCTAGTGTGGGGAACAAAGGGAGACTTTTCAGCATTTAGAAAAACCTGGATGAACCCGGATGAACCTGTAGATGGGAAAGGATATTTAGGAGGATATTAGAAAGACTCCAGTGCCCTCAATTATCCAAGGGCGGGTGCGTAACGCGGGAATAACGTGTAATCACGTCCCTGGGCGTGTTGCGCTGAGTGCTATTGACGCGCAGATTTGGTCACACGGATAATCATGTTTGCTTTAGATATTGAATTAAATCTGATCATCAACTAGAGGGAGCAAGAAAGTCAGCTGGGACCGCTCCCTTTCCTCGGTCTCCTCGCCCCCTGTCCCCCCACCCCCAGCCACGAAGGTGGAGCTCCAGACAAAATTAGAGATACAATTTCCGAATTGGGCGGACTTTCAATCCCGAGGCGTCGCAGAGCACCCGCTGGGCTCTGAGCTACAGAGCCTGGGTATTTTCGGACACCGCAAGATAGAGCGGAGGGGCGCCCCTTCCCTCCCCAAGTCCACAAGGCCCTCATGAGACGTTCCTCCGCGCGGGCAAGTGTGCGCCAGCATCCGCCAGGGAGCTCTCCCTGCGACAAGAGTGGGATGGAATCAGTTTTCTACCAGGGAAGGACCAATGCGCCCTCCCCAGCCGAACCAGGGGCTGTTTGCTCACTTCCCGCTCCTCTCACCCCAGCCCTGGAGGCAGGGGCGCACTAGCCCACCTCCAGACTCCTTTCTAGCAAGCAATTCACCCAGCTTTACGCCAAAGAGCTGGCCTGGGCGACCGCGCGCAGCCAAATGCTAGGAGGGACGAGGCACGGGATCTGGTCCAGGGAGAGGGGACTGGAAACCCGGAAAGGATGGGGGCAGAAGGGAAGGGGGAAGGCTTGGTTTGCAAGGATTGCCACTGACTCCGGGTCCTTGGCTCTCCCCGGCCAAAGAGCCTGGAGGAGGCCGCAACAACCGCCTCCTTCCCCCGCGCCCCAGTCCCCGGGTCCCTCCTTACTGCCAAAGCCTTGAGCGCCCAGAAACCCGCCCCCCATTCCCGCGCCCAGGTCTTATAGCTGTCTCCTAGGCCATCTCCGGTCTGCGGATTTTGAAAAGGGGGTGGAGAGTGGAGAGAAAGCAGACCAGTCTCAACCTCAGCGCCCCTGCCCCCCCTTCTTAGCACGAGGTAAATCAAATGCAACAAAGTGAAAGTCATCGAGTGTAGAGGCTTCAACAGCTTCTCAGGCTGAAGGAGCCACTCGTAGATTTGGGCGAGCGAGGGGGGCTTGCTCTCCTCGCCTTTGCGTTTTCCAAAGTCACTTTTTCTCCCGAAGCCAGGACGCTGCCGCCCTGATCCAGACAGCACACGACGCCAGGAGAGAGGCCCGGGAGAGGGCGGGCGACCCCGGGCTTCGGGTCTACAGCTGGAAGGCCCGAGGCCAAGCGCTCGCGCCCGGGTCCGGGGTCCGAGGCGCGGGGCCTGGCCCGCCCGCCCGGGTGAGGGCTGTCCGGGAGGCTCTCCAGCGCCCCGGGCGCCCCTGGTCCCCGGTTCCGAGAGGAAGCCGGGTGAGAGCGCGGCCAGCGGCCTGGCCAGGCTCCTTGCCCGAGGCCTCTGGCCTGGTGCAGGGCGACACAGTAAGACAAACGGGAGGGCTGGGCTTGGTTTTTTTAAACACAGGATTTTTATTAAAATTCTTAATTAAAAAATGGAAAGCTTTCAGCGCCCGGCGCTCTTGGGGAACCGCACGGAACCGCTGAGCTCCAAGTTCCGGGGCTCAGGACCCGGAGGATGGGGCAGAGGGCTTCTGGCCTACACATTTTCCTTTTTCATATTTAAGAAATGTTTGCACTGAACAAAATAAGAAAAGAAAAAAAGGAAACAGGGGAAACCAAACATAAGCAAACCAAAACAAACCACAAAGAAAGGAGTTAGGCTCCGAGGGGGAACAGGCCCGCCCTGAACGTCATTTTGGCAACAATCACCATCGATATTTACAACGAAAAGCGAAATCTGCCACCAGTTGTCAGAATGTTTACATGGCCATAAATATTTAGCATTTTCTTATTTAAAACAAGGAGACAGATCTATATTTTAAAGTGTTCTCCACTTGCTTAAGACGACGACGGCTGACAATATCGCTACTCACACAAATCTATATTTTACAAAATTCACAAAAGCAGGGGGCGGAGGGCGGGTGTTGGTCTTTTTCTCTTCTCAAGTGAAGATATTAACGCCGGAACGTTTGGTCCCCGTGGGGAGAGGCAAAGAAGCGAAGCTGCGCAAACATTCTGTAAACACGGCTTATAGTTCAGCCCTCTCCGAAGGTTCAAAAGGAGAGAGGGATGGGGCAGAACTGGGTGGATGGACTCTGTCACTCCAAGGAGGCACAGGCAGCCTCCCGGCGCCAGCACAACGGAGCCGAGAGTCAACTGGACTCGATAATAATCATAACCATAATAACCACCCTAAGGGCCGAGTCCGCGCCGCCGCCGCCGCAGCCGGGGTGGGGCCTGGCCTAGGGCCGCGAGTCTCCGAGCGGCGGCGCTCACCAAGTCCACTGCTGGGCCTGGACCAAGGGGTGTGCTGTCGGATACTGGGGGGTGCTGGCCGAGCTGTACTGGGCGTTGTACTGCATGTGCTGCAGAGACTGCGCGCTGTAGGCCGAAAAGGGGATGCCTGCCTGGAAGGTGGCGGCTGCCAGGTCCTGGGCTTTGAGCGCGTGGCACGGTTTGCCGTCCCTGACCAAAACGGGCACGGCCACCCGGCGCGGCGAGGGCAGGGGCGTCACCTCCATACCTTTCTCGGCCCGGGCGCGCTTCATCTTGTAGCGGTGGTTCTGGAACCAGATCTTGACCTGCGTGGGCGTGAGGCGGATGAGGCTGGCCAGGTGCTCGCGCTCGGGCGCGGACAGGTACCGCTGCTGCCGGAAGCGCCGCTCCAGCTCGTAGGTCTGCGCCTTGGAGAAGAGCACCCGCCGCTTCCGCTTTTTGCCCGCGTCCCCCCCGCCGCCCGGGGTCTCCTTGTCATTGTCCGGTGACTCGTCGGCCGAGGGCTCCGGGGACTTGGAGCTCGAGTCCTGGGGCGCTGCGCCGGCCGCCAGCCCGTGCACTGGGAGAGAGAGAAGCGCGTCAGGCGCTTGGAAGCCGCACGCCAGCTGGGCCAGACCCTGCGCGCCTGGGAGCCTCCGTGCGCCTCAGCCCTTTGCGTCCTGCAGCCCGGCCCCACTGCCTTCGCTTTAACCCCAGCCCTGCTCCACGCATGACAAAGCCGTCGACTTTCCCCAGGGAAAAGAAGAGAAGCGGCAGGAGTGGGGGCTCGGGGCTTGCGTTTCTGGGGGTTCGCACAGGGTGGGTGCGTATTTTGGGGGAGTGGCGCGCAGAGACGATCATCGCGGGTTAAGGGCTCCGGCCCCCTTAAGCAGTTTCCTCTCCGGAGAGACGTGGGCAGATTTTTAAAAGAAAAACCCCACAATCCCGGCATTGATCGGTTCAGCCATTTAAGGCAGGTTTTTGGGGGCTTGCGTTTTTGCTTTCGGACTTTCTCGGCACCATCCGCACCGCACAAAGCGTTCTCTATATCGTGCAGGGGGCAGGGTGAGCTATTTATACCCGGGCCACCGGGAGCCTCCCCCACCCTCTACCCGTACCCCGAGGCTGGCTGGCTCGCTCCAAAGCTCCAGGCCAGTCCCTCCCGGCTGTCGGAAGTGGGGGGGGGGAGCTCCGGCCAGAGCCATCAGTCTCAGCTGACTGCTGTAACCAGCTCTTGGGAGGTGTTCCCCTCCCCCTTTTCCTCCTAATTTCTCGCTTTGAAAAAAAAGTCTGAGACTTAAGACTTTTTCCGGGACTACGAACCTTGACGAGGAGTAAAGAGTTAGGGCATTGTAAATAAGTGTTAAAAATCTTTCTAGGGGCGCAGGGTGAGGGACCCAGGCTTAAATGGCTCCGTCCCCTTTCTCCCCCAGCGTCCAGCCTGGGCTTCGGCCACAGGAGGCGGCGGCCACGGCTGCGGCGGCCAAGTTTCGCTACTTACGGGAGTACTGGAGGCCCTCGGCGCTGGCCAGCCAGCGCGTATACGGGTTGTCGCTGCTGTCGCAGAAGGGGTTCTTCAGGGGCAGGCTCTGCACCTTGTCCAGGGCGCCCTGCCCCAACGGCCCGGCCCTCCTGGCAGGCTCCGGCCCCTCGCCCTCCTCCTCCGGCCCTTCGGCCACCGAGCCCTCCTCATCGTTGGTGTCCGGCAAGTCCAAGATGTCCTTGACCGAAAACCCCGTCTTTGTGTTGGTCAGCGACATGGCTCGGGACCCCGCAATTTATGTCGCAAAGTTGTAGCTTCACTTGGTCAATTCGTGGCGCTCCCCAATAGGGTCGGGGAGGGGGTATGGGGGGAGGGATTGGGGGAGGGGAGGGGGGAATGGGCTTTAATTATTGTGATAATTATTTTAAAAAAGAGAAAGAAACTATAGGGAAGGGGAGGGAAAAAATGCCCAACGCAGCGTATGCCTCTTCTCTGAGAGCACGCGGAAAGGGACGCAGGGAGCTGGCGGCCTGCGCCCGGAGCCCCGCTGGCCGGGCCCTAGTTTGTAACTCCAGGAGAGGTGCCAAGGCGGCGTCAGCTTGGGCTCCGGCGGCCGCTCGGCGCGCGGTGGCGGCTGGTGGCGAAGAAAAAATGGGCCATTGCCCGAGCGATCAGTCCATATAAGGCTGGGCTCCACTCACGAACCTGGGGAGAGGGGGGAGGGGGAGAAAGAGAGGGAGGGAATGAGGGAGGGAGGGAGGGAGGGGGAGCGAGAGAGGGAGCGAGAGAAGGGTGGAAAAGAAGGGGGGGAGACATTAAAACGCAAAGGTTGGACACGTGTGGGCGGGTCTTGGAAGTCAAGTGGATGAAGACAGTATTTGCAGATGTGAAATTGTGGGTTTTGGGGAGCTCTGCGCTCCCAGCCAACGGCCCTCTAGAGCAAGATGAGAGGTGTAACGTGTCAATTAATTGCAAAGACGGGGAGAGCTTTTTTCTCCCCCTAGTATTTACATACAAAGGACCACCGCGTCGCTCGTGAGTCCACACACTTGCAAGGGCCGTTTTAACAAATTGCATCTTAAAAAAACCGGAGGAGGAGAGAAAACAAAACAGAAACCAAGAAGAAGGAAAAAAAAATCCTCCTTAAAATTCACCAGTTCCTACCTCCCCGCCCCCGCGCGCCCACCCCCAGCAGGCCGGAAAATTGGCGATTTGTGGCGCCTTTGGAAAAGGGGGAGGGGGCGAAAACTGAGCCGCGGAAATCTCTCCTTCGCATCGCTGGTGGTTCCCTAAACAAGATCCGGTTCAAATGGCAAGAGCCCAACTCCTGTAAGCCTCCTAGGTCAATATTTTGGTTGAGGCTTAAGGATGAGCACCAGAAATGACAAGGCAAGTAATTGATTCTAGTTAACGCCGAAAGAGACCGAAACCCAGGAGAGGGATGGCTCGGGGTGGGCCGGAGCCACCACCAAGCGACACCCCCCCTCCAGCCACCCTTTATTTGCTAAAGACTTATTTATTTCCTTCACTCCGCCTTCCCCTTACCCCCTCCATTTCTCTGCGGCCGACGAGCACTGCGCAGTTCACTTTCGGCTTTGCAGGCGGCCCAGGGAGGGGCGGGGTGGGGGTGGGGAACTCTAACTTGGGCGGTGTTCGGACCCGGCCCCGCCGCCTCTGGACTCCGACGGCCGCGTACTCCGAGTGCAGGGAAGGGCAGAAGGCCCGGCAACCTTCCTGCCCCCTATTATGCCTCCTTCTCCAGCCCCCTCCTTCTCCAGCCTCTGGCAAGGGTGGAGCGGCGGGAAGGGAGAGGGGCGAGGTGGGGGGCGGGAGCGCTGTCTCCAGCCAGGGTGAGGACCCCGAAAGCCGGGGGGAGAGGGACGCAGGGCGGGCGGATGATGCTGCGTTTTCTCCGGAGTTTTCTTCTCCCAGGCGAGTCCTTTAATTTCGTCTCCTTTGGGTGCGATTGGAGGACACGCTCCAGGCTCCCACCTTGCGTTGGGTTAGTGTGAAGTTCACAACCTCTCCCCCGCCTGGGAACTGAACTTTCCTGGGACAGCGCCTCCTCCTCGGCGCTGGGGAGGAAAAATCCACGCCGCGTTTCCCACCCCTCCTTCCAGTTTTTTTTCCGGGGGTGGGGTGGGGTGTGAGTTGTTTTGCTACCTGATGCTCGTCCGCTCCTGGCGAGCGTCAGGTTGGTGCTTGGCCTGGGGGCGCGGAGGGGCGCTTACGGCCGCGGGGGGTCCGGGTCTGGCCTCCCTTCTGCCCCTGGCCGGGGCCGCCTCAGCGCTGGCCGAGCGGAGCGCGCGGGCGCCGCGCCCTCCTCGCGCGCAGCTGCGGCCGCCGCCGCGCCCCTGTCGCCCCCGGGTTGCCAGCGCCCGGCGAGGGCGCCTCTCCCCGAGCCGCTCGGCGGCTTTCTGCAGCCCGCGCTGCCTCGCCCCCAGTATGTGACGTGGGTGACAATGGCCCAGGTTCGAGCGAGCCCCTCGTCGGCGCGTCCTGGGTGGTCGGACCCGGGCAAACACAAATACAAACCGATTGCTAAGCTGCGGACAATGAGCGAAATGTAGACAAATGTCCCGCTCCCGTTGGAAGCCTTTGTCCCGGCTCGGTTTTTGCATTTATTTCAGTGGCGAAATAATACATGATTGACGCTCTCTTTCAATGTGTCCTAACTGTTTGGAATAAATCTAAGGTTGTTCCTAGTTGTCATGGCATTCAACCCTTTTCAATGGACTATCTCTTCATTCATTTCTGAATCCGTCCACAATATTAAGGAAACCCCTTCATGTCGACGCTCCCCATTCCTCTCTCTCTCCTCCTACTTTTTCTTTTTTCCTTTCTCCCCCTCCTTCCTCTTTTTTCCCTGCGAGAATTAGAAACTGGTTTGAATCGTGTTCCTCGAACCCATTACTTTTCTTGCTTTTTTTCTTTCTTTCCAGCCTCTGTCTTTCTCAGCCTCCCTCCTCCTTGCCTCCCCCTCCCCGCTTTCACGTGGGAGCTCTCCTTCCTGTCCAGTCTGAGGAGGGAAGCTGGTTCTTCAGGAGTCCAGGAGGCCCCGAGTTTGGAAACAGGGGCAGGGTGGGCCTGCCCCAACCATTGTTGCTCAGCGCTAAATAAATAACTGGTGAGAAAAAGTTCCTCAACCCAATCATTGCAGAAAAGACCCTCCTGTGGTTCCTTCTCTGATTCCTCTGTCCCAAGGGGGAGGAGGGTGTCTCTTGGGGACAGGGCAGACTCCAGGGATGGGGAAGGGCCAGAAATGAGTCTGCGGGGCCAAGCCAATTCTTGGGTTGGGTGGAAAATGGTCTTTGGGCAAGAAGTGTCCCTTTTTGCATACTCCCTGAACATACCCTCTGATTCCTCTGTCTCGAGGGTGAGAGGGTGAGGCACCCCCAGACAGCTTCTATGGAGCCTGCTCACTTCCTCAGCTTGAAACCACCTAGTTCCATTTAGTTCCCAACTCCTCCCTCCCTTCCCCCAGCATAGTGGGCCTTTCTCCCAGGATCTAATTGGCATTGCCGCTGTTGATCATGTCCCCTCCCCTCCCCCTGGGAGCCTGCATGGTGGGCAGAGCACCTGAGAGACAGACCACTGTTTTCCTACGGGAATCCAGTCTCCTGGGAATTAATCATGGAGAGAGAGTGCTGACAATGGCGCCTTGAGAAGGTGGCCCCCAGCCCAATGCAGGAAGGCTGGGCTCCCCACGGCAGGTGCCCCTTGGCCTCAACCAGCTGGAGTCTTCGGTGCTGCAGGTTGCAGGGTCCCCTTCCAGGAGCACTTGTGGGGCCACACTTCCCCTGCCCGCACAGGCCGTCACCTGCTCTCACTCCCTCCTCCACCCTCACCCCAGCCTGTGCTAGTGCTTTTCCCTCCCCTAGACTTGGGGCCGTGGGGCAGGGAGGGAGCTGGAGGGAGCCTCTGTCTAGCCTCCTGCCGCCCCGCTCGCACCCTGTGGAGCCGGATCCACTGCGCTCAGGGTCTGTCTCTTGGGACCTCGAGAGTCCATTTTCCCCATCGCTTCGTTGCCCGTGTGGTTCCCACGTCTGCGTCCAAAGCGCTGACATTTGCAATTGAAAAGGCGCTGGGAGACCACTGGGAGGCCCGTAATTGAAGGGGAGAAACTCCGCTTGTTAGAGGAAGATCATAAAATGCAAGTCCCCCAGGAGTGGCCTGCAGACGCTGGGAGGCCGGCGCCGGACCAGCTGGCGGCCAGGGGCAAGTCCGGTGCCCAAAGCCTGCTCCAGTGTCTCCCCGATTTCGTGCGGCCTGAAGAGCGGGGGGCCAGGCAACACACACACCTTGACACGCGTATTAGACAGGTGATTGCATTCCGAGGACTCCCCCGGAGGTCTTGCTGGGAGCACCACAGTCCGGCCTTTTCCAGCCAGGGATCTCCTGTTCAGCGAGATCCTGCACACCCAGCAGGTTGAGAGAACCCAGCCCCACACCCCTGCCTCCTCTCTAGAGTCCTTTATTAATGTCCCCTGTCAGTTCTGAACATATCAGTGTCCCCTTGCACCAGTTTCAGCTCTACCTGGATGTGTTCTAGTCTCCCCCACTGGGGATTCTTTGGTAAATTCTTTCCCGGTTCCATCTTGCAGCCAGAAGACAATGTCCTGGGTTCCAGTGTGTGTGGGCTTTGGGCTTTACTGCCAGCGTCGGGGGAGCTCGTGAGCACTCTGCAGTCACTGCAAAGTTGGGGACGAAGTTGAGAGGGTTGATCAAAGTTTGATCGAAGCTTGTTCTAGGCTGCAGGAAGACGCGTTTGGCTTTCTTTGGTGAGCAAACACCACCTAGCGTCCCTGCCAGGGTCACTCGAGCTGCCAGAGGTCCCCTGCCTCTGGTCTTTATTCTCAGCGTTGGTGCTCCAGGTTCTTCACAAATCTCGAACTCTGTACTCCTTCTTCCTACGTTTAGAATGGGCGCAAAGGGAGCCACCAGCCCCGAGGGGAGGTGAGGGAGAGGAGGAAGAGAATCTTTCTCCTTGGAGGCTAGAGGGAACCTCCTTTGGGAAGCTTCTCAGGCCGCTAAACTCCTTTCTGCAGCTCTGGGTTCCGGCGCGATTGAAGCGCAGGCGGCTGGAGAGGGCGGCGGGGGAGCTGAACAATCGCCGGAGGCCCAGGAGGGGAGGTGAATGTACACAGGCTAAGTGGCCCCACTCCAGGACAAGTGGCCCTCCAACTCGGCCCAGTGTTTACCTGTTTACTTTCCCAGGTAGCTCAAACACGAGCGCCTTTTCTGAGCTCCGGATCCCGGGGGCAGCCCTGGTGCGCCCTGCATGCCCAGATTCTGGCTTCCGCGCACCACCGCTTTACGCCCCCTGTTGGGGGAGGGGTGAGCTCCTAACAGCAGCAAACAAGGC